AAACTACTATTACATAATATCTAACAAAAAGAATAGCAACTTTTAAAATAGAAACTTTACAATGAAAAAGCAAATTTTGTAAATAGCAACTTTTTAAAATAGTTAATATTAACTGAAAATAATTATTTGATAGTAATTCTATTTTTTATAAATCCTAGAAAAAATTATAACTGCAAAATATTATGTAATATTAATTTTCCTTTTCTAAAAATCCTAAACAAAAGAGATATCATCATATGTTTTAGGCTGTAGCCAAAAGAGAAATGTAAAAAAAAAAACTTAATAATAATTTTTTTTTTAAAATAACATGATGATGAACATGATACGAATTAATATTTATTTAATTTAAAATAAAATTGTAATATAGTAGTGATACAAATTTTGTTACTATTACACATGATACTAATTAATATTTATTTAATTAACAAAATAAATTTGTAAAAATAGTAGTGATATGAATTGTAAAAATAGTAATTTTAAGATTATTTAATACTAACCAAAAATAATTATTTTATAATTTTCTGAAATTCTAAGCATGAGATAATTGTAAAAGGTAATTAACTTATGAAGTAATTAATTTGAAAAAGAAAGAACAAATAGGAATGAATTTTCTCTTAACTTATGTAAAGATAAATATTTAGTTTCTTTTCTTATTTTATTAAAAAAGTTATATGTAAAATTATGTAATTAATTTGTTTTATGCAGAAAATTATTGTTCTCCAATGAGACCATTAAAAGTGAAACTACTCCAAATTATATACCTCATATTGAATATCATATATTGAAATTAAATTAAAAAAATCTTCTTAATGATTGTCTCTTCTTAATGTCTGTTACAACATGTACTAATACAAGTTATTTTCATAAACAATTTTTTTTTATAACACTGCTGTTTTGACTTGTCCAACACATGGAAACATGTGATACATATGAAAAAATTAAATGAGATATCAATAGATACCTACAACAAAATGAATGAAATCTCACCCAACTAACCCCTTACTTTTGAGCCTCCAAAGCGAGAAGATGATGAAGCCACGCCAGAGCATGTCTAGCAATGTACGATTGGTGACGCAGATCACGGGTGACACTTAGAGCAATTGCCGCTGCCGCTTCATTGCGTTCTTGGAAGGCGTGTTCTAGGCTCCATGTGTTTATCATTGCCAAAAGAGAAACGATATTGTGGCGGATAGGTTGAAATCATGATTTTGCTGGCTATCAGGCTTTGTGAATACATCATGGAGGCACTCGGACGATGTCTCAAAAATAATATTTGAGTAATGTAAATTATCCATACATTCGACCGCCCAGAACAGGGCCCATAAAGCCGGTTATGTTTTTGTACGCATGTAAGAGTAAGTTCGACGGCTATGCATGAGAATAACCCCATTTTCATCCAGTAAAATCCATGAAGCACCATAAAGTTGATTGGATTTCACCCATGAGGATCCAATATTGAATTTTAGGAAGCCAATTGGCGGATGTTTCCATCGCACCATTTTCGTATCAATACTAGTAACCCCATCACTCCTTACTGTGAAAGTATCAAACCATATTGATTCTGCTTCATAGGCTTTCTTAGCCACGACCAAAGCGTTAATTACTTTGGTTACAAAAGTAAAAACATTCCTAACTTTCCAAATTTCCCACAGTAACCATGGGAAAACATTTCTTGTATGGCTATCCATATTTAAATTCTTGGCAGTCTTATTCAGATGCACAAAATTTAAAAATGTGGAACTCCGAGAGAAACCTCCTGGAGGTATTGGGAAATTCGATTGCTCTCATGTGGCTCTTTCTTTAAAACATGTAAAGAGAACATGACATATACTCTCAACCCCATTACCACAAAAAGAGCAAGTTTGGTTAATAGGAATACCCCGAGTAATCAAACGTTGTTTAATAGCTAACGCACCAGATAGAGCACGCCACATGAAGTGTTTAATTTTAGGGGGTGCTTTGATCTTCCAGAGGTCTCTCCACAAATATTTTTCAATAGGAGTAAGAGAGTTATGCGGAGGGTGTTCATAGTCCATCAAAGTCTCTGAAAACTTATACGCACTCCAGGTCGAATATGCCCCATTTGGTGTAAAACCCCATTTAAAAGTATCCTGTGAATCCAGTGCCGGTTTCAGCACTAATATCCTTTGAACATCTTCTGATGTAAACGTACGATGTAACAAATTAATATTCAGTTATTCATACAATCGATATTCATAAACATAATATTTATCAAGAACATATATTTTTGTGGCTACAAGAATCAAAGGAGGATAAAATTGCATAAGGTATTAATAGTTTCATTACCTCAAAATTAGATGATAAATGCTGATCTATAATGTTTTCTATTACCTAAATAACTAAGATTATTTCCAATTTACCTAAAAAAACTACAAATCTAAAATGGAATACCAATTTAGATACTTTCTTCAAACAAAAATATCATAGCATTTAGACTTAAACTTACTGATTATTGTTTAAGGTTTAGTATTTTTGAGGTGGAATATAGTTTATAAGGTTATAAAATAAATTTTGTTCTAAAATAGAGAAATTCTATTACAGAGGTGGATTTGTTTCAATATATGATTATGTAACAGAGTTCTTATATTTTTAGAGAAAAATATAGAAATGTTTTACTTTTGTTTTTAAATATATAGCTGAGAAAAATATTTTTATAAAAATTACATGTATTATATAACTTGATGATGTACATATAACTTGATAATATTGTATAAAAAACATAGTAGAGTAATATTAAATATTCATTATATTCTCATTTTAAATTAAAATTTAATTATGAGAATATCATTAATAAATAATGAATTAATAAAATTATTTAAAATTGGATAAACAACTTTATTATTACTAGAAAATGCAAAGCAAGTAATTTAAAAAAATAATAGTACACACATAGGAAAAACTACAAATCTAAAACAGAATATCCATTTAGATATTTTCTTCAAGCAAAAAATATTATAGCATTTAGGCTTAAACTTACTGATTGTTGTTTAAGGTTTAATATTTTGGAGGTGGAATTTAGTTTATAAGGTTATATAAAGTTTTCAAATGATATATATGATACTGAATGTCGTATATTTAAAATTAAAATTGAATTCTTAGTTACCTTCAATATTGTGTTTTCTTCAGCTTTATTACAACATATAGTAAATTTATTTATTTATTTTAAAATTTATCATCACAAAAATATAGAATATTTTCACAAAACTATAATAGCTTTTCTTAATATCTCACGAAACTTTAATTAAGAAGTTAAATTTTATTATAAACAGTTATTCACATAATTCAGATTCATAAATATGGTCTTCAACATGCACATAAATTTTGTGAATTTTAAGACTTATCACCACAAAAATATAGACTTTTTCACGTAATTATAGTTAAGAAGTTATGTTTTTATAAACAATTATTCACACAATTAAGATTCATAAATATGGTATTCAACATGCATATAAATTATGTGGCTATAAAATGCATCTATGATCTTCAACATGCAGACAAATTTTTGTGATTATAAGATGCATGTATTAATAATTTAATTACATGATAAAAATAAGAACCCAAAATAATTTCTTTTGGTTGAACAGTTAAACTCATAGATCATGCAAACCAAAATATATAGATAATAATAAATAAACAGAAATATATTAAGCCCCCTATAATGACAATACAAACTTCACTAAACGACCAATAAACATTAGAATATATTTAAGCGAGAAGAATAACAAATAATAAGTTAATAAAAAAACTAATTAGTACTTACGAAAGTGTATGATGTTGTCATTGACTTGATTAACTTTATTTAACTTTTAAATTTTTATTTCACTCTAATTTTTATTTTGAATTGAACTCGATTAAAAAATTTTAAATATGATTATTTTTCTAATACTAAGTACAAATATTAACCATAATTTATGTGGATAAACAAGTTCTTAATTCTCAAATAAATCTTATATAGATATGCAAAAGGAATGCTAAAAATATAACAAATGATTTCTTATTTTTATGTTTTATATAAAACTAGAACTTATCCCAATACATACTAAAATAAAACACATTTCTATTTAGAAGCCTATCTTCCAAATTTTTTAAAACCTGAAATCTGAAAAAAACTTGAATCATACTATACGAAAAATCGAACGGATGAAGTATATTAAGGGATTTGCAATGATTTTTGAACGAGCCAATTGTGTTCTCAAATCACAATTTCTTAATGTTTTTGAACATTTACAACATTTTTGGAAGAGTTGCTAACGCATTAGTCACATAGTTTATTTTCAAGAGATGATAATATGCATTTATTTTACATAAAATTATAAACAGTGCTGCTCTAATATTTTATATGGCCTAAGCAAACTTTTAACAGCATATTTTATACTTTTTCTTAATATCATATATATAATATAAAATATCACACACTTTTACAAACTAATCAATCATTAATCATTATTAAAGATAATTATATAAAAATAATTGTATATAATTATTTGTTAATATTACCATCAAGACTTTTACTCTAATCAATCATAAATTACGAATACCAATTGTTAATACAAAGTTTTACATTTAAATAATATTTTACTTATATTTTATATAATTTTTCATATATTTTATATAATTTTACTTATATTTTACATAACTTTTACTTATATTTTCTATAATTTTACTTATATTTTATATAATTATTACTTATGTTTTCTCTAATTTTAGTAAAGTTTATATGTAAACATAATTTGTATGTATTTGATAATAATAATATTCATAAAAAGTCATTAATATTATTTATAGAAATTTTATTAATAAACATACCCTTTCATACTATATCTTAAGTGATAATTTGGATTGCTTGTTCTATGGAGCGACCATAATTATAAACAATATATATGACATATATTGGTAATTTGGGCTTGTTGTTTTTTGGGAAGTATAACATACGATCGTTGTACGATAATCGACCAAAAATATATGGAACGCAGGCTACAATGAACGTATGGCATCCTATTATAGAATCAGCAGACGAGTTTAGACTGGGTCAAATTTGGATCGTATCTGGATCTTACATCAACAATGATATCAACAATATTGAAGTGGGTTGGCATGTATAAAGATCTTATTTTTTATATTAATTGGACTGGTCAGCAACTAATAGAAGGGAATATAATGGTAAAGCATCAATTATTGGGGCTCCCTTCAAAAGTAATGTTGCTTGTTTAGTTAATTCACCCTTTAATATTTAGAATTTAGCTGCTGCTTCCTGGGCCAGGGCACTCTCCATGTTCAAAATGAATGTTGCGTCAAAAAGCTAGAGCTTACTCCTATTGTTTTTGATTATTTAAATAACTCTTCTACAGCTATAAATTCATGAATCTCAACATTTATCAACGTTTTCATTCGTATACATTCTAATAATAATATGAAATAAAAACAAGTTGAATATGTACGTATACTTACAAAGCATGAAGTCATGCTAGCTGAGTGGGATGCTTCACCTAGATTATTTTTGTATGTTTTTTATATGATAATGATTATTACCTTTTATAAAACTTTAGGTAAGGAGAAATTATATATGATAAAGTATATTTTGCTTATTTACAATAGTTGTTTCCACATTAAAGAGTTGGCATTTTATATGTTGTAATAATTTCAAAAGATATTTAACAATATTATCATTAGGAGCTAGTCGGGTTCCTCCCGAGGCATTACCAAAGTCATCAAAAAAATAATATTATCATTCTTATAAAAATATAAGTAGCTGAAATTAATGTGTATAATTCTTTTTGTGGTTCTTGCCAGCTGTAGATTTAGAGCACGATTCTCGCACCTGTTTCTTAAAAAAAACTAGGTGTTATGCCCGTATATGCGGGCATAATTTTGTTACGAATATTTATTATTTTTTTTGTTTTATTAATTCTAAATAATATTATAAATTATATGTTATAGTTTTAAAAAACCTAAATCAAACAGTAATACAATTTTATATGAATTTTCATCAAAAACTATATGTTTATTATAGTATTGAAAAATATCCATATAATAAAATATTTTTGAATATATATTTATAGTTTTTCTTAATATTTAATTTTAAATTATTTTATAACTTACATTTTCATTTTTCATAATAAAAATATTATTTCCAGATAACTGTATAATATTCTATAAGATATCTTATGTTTTAAATATGCATGATTGTGAAAAATTATCCTACTAAATTATAATAAATTAACTAATATAATAACATATAAATTTCAATCACTAACATAAAATCTGTTTTAACTAATTTATATATAAATATATAAATTTCATTAAAGGTATCATTTAAGTCTAAATATATTTAATTGATCTAATATTTATAATCGAATTTATTAATCTTTTATATTGCATAGATTTTTTAATTTTTTCATTGCATAATATCTAATATTTGATTATATAATTAAAAGTATCTTTATACAAATGTTTTTGTTTGATTAATATTTAACTAAAATCAATTTTTATTTTAATTTTTAAATTTTATAATAGAATGATATTATTTTCAAAAGCCAAAATAAATTATATATAAAATTAAGATATATAGGCATTATCATGTTGTTACAATATTATATTCAGATAATAATAACATATATAATAATTTTTTTTTTGAACTTATTATATTAATTATTCTTAGTTATCTAAGATAATAACATACTTATCTAATTTTATTTTTTAAATTTCGTTTTTAATTATAAAATTAGTTATATATAAAATTTCATCAAGGGTAAAATAGATATTAACCGCTCTAACTTTTAACGTGAGAGCTCCGTTGCGAAAAATCACTTCGCAAATAATAGTATAGATTATTTGTTTTTCTATTTTTTTTAGTCTAAAAATAAAAATAAAACAAACCAGTCGCGAACTACTACGTGTCGGTAAGACCCGCGAACAGTACCAAATTCATATCTGAGACATCTCTGAATTTGTTTTGGAATTTATGTTGTAGTTTTTTTGGAATTTACTCGTGATTATATCATAAATATATATTTTTAATTTTTGTTTTATATTTAATTTTTTTATGTTTTATTTGATTTTCTTTACTTTTTTATTTATTTGGTAAACCGTTTACTTTTTTAATGAGGATATGTTCCTTTTTGTAGTATAGATATTTTATATTATTAATTTCATGAAATTGTAGCTATTCAATTATATATATATATAATCTATTATTTATTTTATTTTAATTTTTAAAATATATATTAATTATGTATTTAACATTTAATCGTGGATTTCTATCAAATTTTCAATTCATCTAAGTTTAAATTTTATGAGAAAAGAACAACTTCAGATTCATTAATGTTTCGTTGTTTAAATTTGATGAAATTCAAAAATTAATACCCAAAAAGATTTTCTTATTTCCTTAATTTTTCTTTTAAAGTTTTATGTTGTTGTATTTTAAAATTATATAAGGTATATTTATTATATTATTATCTTTTACTAATTTTATCACCGAGTTAAAATAACATCATAATATATGAATTAAAAAAAATCATGAAATTCTAAATTTCTAAAAGTCTTAAGTAATTTTTTAGAGTTTAAGATTCTTGTCTGGTTCTGCCTGAGAAAGAGTGAGAAAAAGTACAAACATTTTATAAGAAGGCCTTTTCTTGGTAAAGAAATATGGTTACATGTATAAGTTATGGGTTTATGCTATTTGCAACTACAACTAATATTATTAACATGAAGACGTAAAAAACTAACATTATAAAATCCACATATCTGTTTATAAGAGTAGCAAAATCATCTATAATATTAATTCTAATAGTATCTCAATTTCAGTGGTAGAGACCGCTTCTTCTTCATCTTCCTGCTCACTGCACATCACAAATCAAACAAACAACATATAATTCATGTATATATACACTTAACTGAAAGATTTGGACAGTCAAGACAATACCAGACTTGACTGAAACATCACAACAGCCACACCACCACAACTACTTCAGTTTAGAGGTCACAATCAGTCATTCATGGCTTACTATATCTATCTTATAAAGGCACTTCTAAAAAACAACATCATCAGCCTAAATCCAAAGAGTTCTTCGAAATGGTTGAATCTGACATAGCATTTGCAAAAGGATTAAAGTTCAGTGAACCTGTCCTTGACCGCATTCTGCATCAATCATGAACTCTTAAGACGCAGACCAGGTGAAGTTGTGCTTGGTGGTTGGTGTTTTGGAGATTCTGGTAAGAGCAGCAGCTCGTGTTGTATCTGGAATGACTCGGATCTTCTTAGGCCTGGTTCTGGTTCAGAGAGGCTGAAGAGACGGATTGTTGAGTTATTGTTTAATAACTGGATCAGATCAGACAAATGATATCCTAATAATCATCATGACCATACGTCCAGTAGAGTACAACATTGTTGGCAACAAACATGATAACAAAAGTCATTAACGCTTAACATCTAACACCTTTTGTTGTCTAACATCTAATCTGGAAAATGGTAGGACACAGTTCAATTGGTTTATTAGGGTAATATTAACCAGAAAAAAATCATGAGATTTATTAAATTAAACTCAAATTGTATCTTAAGCAGAATGTAATAAAAATAATGGAGCTTTGGGTGTAGACGCACCTCAACAAAAACATCATCCAGAGAGGACATGGTTTCTCAACCCTATAGTGATCTCTTCAATCTTCGCTTTTTCTTCTAACTCTTTCTCAAAACCGGAGCTGCTTCTGTCCTTTGTCGAGTCCAAGATTAAAACTAAACCCAAACCCATCTCTTCCCTCCGTACTGGCGATTCATTCACTCTTCTGGATCCGCCGGCGACGGAAGTCTCTTCACCACGTTTGACCGCTTACCAGAATCTGAGTAATCTTACCAGAACAAATATTGATAAATTTTATTGTTTTCATATTCAGATGATGATTTCAAAGAAAGATACGGTTACGTTTTATATTTTCTGAGTAGCAACACCGACTTGCAAAATAATAAGATGCAGTCAATGAAAGATAAGTAAAGAACATGATAAAAAGGGATGAATCAATTAGAAGAAACTTTCTATAGATCTGAAAAGAAGACAGAAGATTAGATGCCACATAACTGAGTAGATACTGGAAAATAAAGACTCTTCGATTCATTTGGGAAGAAGAATACGGAACCCTACAAAAATTTGCAGTTGGTGTCGTTCTCTTTTGGGCTGAATCACCAAAATAAACATAAAACCCACTAAATTATAAGAAAGTACATAAATGAAACGCAGAGTATTAGGTCCTGTTCGTTTCATGAATTGGATGAGAATTCCAGACGCAGCATCCACGCGCAGTAATTGGATGCAGCATTCAGATATTGTTCGTTCGCGATTCTGGAAATTTTGGATCATGCGTCTGGAATTTATATCTGGATGCAATTATGTTCGTTTTGTATTTCTTTATTTTGTATCTGGATGAGTTTTATGTCAAATGACCAAAAACTCCTTATCTTCTCTTTTGGTCTAAACATGTATATAATTATATCTAAAAATTCAATTTTAATGTTTTAACTTGTAAAAAATTACGTTAAACTACAAATAAAATAGACATAAATAAAAATAAATATTAAATTCAATTTTTCATGTTTTCTAACATTATAAAGTAACAATAATAAACATTAAACTCAAAGTATTGAAATAACAAAATAAAAACTCAAAGTCTTGACTCAAAACACAAAGACTGAAACACTCAAACCTGAAACATAAACCCTTGACATAATCTTCAAAGGTCTTGAATACTCAAACCTGAAAAATATAGTAAACATATAGTAAGATATATACAAAATACTCCCATTAAATTTCAAAACATTTCACATACTACTATGTATATAAGCTTCAAGTAGAACCTGCTAGAACACATCTCTTAACAATATTACAGTAACGAGGAGCAATGAACAATAAACACAAAACAGAACATGAGATGTATGAAGGTCCATATCTGAGAGAGAGTATACTACCTACCACTGACCACATCAGAATGAACCAAGAAAATATTCACATTATAACATCAACCCTAAGAATCTCATAGCACATGTATAAGAATCCTCGAAACAGTCTTCCTAACAGCACCAAAACACCATCTCAAGCAACCCAAGAACAATAACCACAGTCACACAATGCTGAAGCTGCAATATATCTTTCCTAAACCTCAAATACTGAAAGAACCAAACCACACTAAGCAACACATAAGCAAGAGAGAGAGATGAGAATAAGAACCTGGAGGAAGTGACTACTTGATGATCACCAGAACAATACACCACACATCGAATATGTGAAGCTAATATGGAAGTCGACTTCCTCTTGCT